GCAGCCAGCCCAACATTCTGCTTGATTCCCCTGTAGAGCCACCAAGTAAGTTGGGGAAGGGATGAACCTTTCATGGCGGGCACCCCACATATACAATTTCTCTTCATGTTCCTCCTGTGGAACATCACCCTCTGCTGTTTCTCTAGGGCCCTGTTTTTGACATCTGAAAGGAAGGGAAGAGTCAGGCATGACCAGAGCCACCCAGGGTAGGAAAACACCCATGTGGGATGTGACCAGGTCAGGGCCAGCCTTCTCTGGGGCCTGTCCAGCTCAGACCTTCTAACTCCCAGCCTGGCTCACTGCTGGGCCATTCAAGACTGCTCACCATGAGTCAGTGGTTCAGGCCCAGGTTCAGGGGCCAGGGCAGTGCTAAGGAAGGGGATGAAGGGGGCTGCAGAAACATTTCCTAGACCCTGAAGAGGCAAGACCTCAAGTACTTGGATGAGACCAGGTTCCTCAGGGTGAACCTCATAAAAAGAGACAATAGGTGAGATCTACAAAGAATAGTTATGCATTGCAAAGAGAGAAAGTGAAAAGAGATGAAAGGAGGAAATATGTTACAAGGCACCATGTTGCTGTGTTCATCTGAATCCTCAGAAACTGCAGAGTATTCTCTCAGTGGATATGGCACTGATGATGTGGGGGAAGCCATGGGAAAGGAAGTCAGAGTTAGTTGGAGGTGGGAACACAGACCCTGCTGCTCCAGGGATGAAGTATCCTGAATTCTGGATGACTTGTCCTCAGCTCTGAGTCCTCCCCAAGGCTCCAGCCCTTCATGTCTGCAGGGAAGGAGTGGGTCTCTGTTCTCTGGCCTCCTTTTCCAGCCTCACATTCTCTCCATGACTAGGAATGGGTGGATGCCTGTGTCCTCCTGTCCCTCCTCCAGGAGATCACTGTCCCCATCAGATTCTGGTCCTGATATTACCTTCCTCTCTCCTGGTTCCTCTCCTGCCTTGTTCCCCTTCCTCTTCTACTCCTAAGATATGCTTCATTTCCTTTCTACACTCGACCTCCACCAGTCACATTATTTTGGAATAGGGAAACACTGGAGGAAAGACAATACATGTGCTGGCACCTAATCACTAAATCCACTCATTCTTCTTGTGTGGGAAACAGCTGTCCTGGGTCTGGGATTGCTGCAGACCCGAGGGAGTAAGGGCCAACCACCTCCATGTAGCCGGTGTCTGTTCTGAGCCGGACATGACCATACTCAGGAGATATTTTCCCCTGAAATAACCCCCCAAAACCCTAGAACCATTACAGAGGCTGAGTGAAATTTAGAGGACGGCAACTTATCCAATTTCCCTTAGTCTCTCAGTGAGGCCCTGAGAAATGTACAGCCATGTGGCCACATAAACATACAGTACCTGCCAGGGTTTGCCACGACCATTGGCATGAAAGCACTGGGCTTGCCTGAGAAAAGGTCACAGGGTGGTCATGACAAGGATGTGATAGGAGGTAAGGCCAACACCATAAGGCAGGGGCACTTGGGTGTTGAGAGGAGCAGTGACCCATGGACCTGCTGCCCAGAGGTTCTACCCTGGGTCAGGTCAATGCCAGGTGACAGATCAGTGTGGCTGTGAGTATAAGTGTTTGAAAGAGGCCCAGCAGCCCCTCACACAATCCATTAGAATTCCTGCCAGCCCTGGAGAATTTGCAGCGCAGCTGCACACGGGCCTCCCTCAGATAGAAGCACATGCGCCCATCTGACTCTGAGAAAGGATCCTGGAGCCTCTGCAGTGATACCAGGGAGAATATTCTTTAACATATGCAGGTGTAGGAGTGGTCTTTCAGGAGGAGCAAACAGGACAGAAACATGATGTTACAAATTGTAGAAGTTGAACGGGAAAGAGTTACCTCTCATTCACCACCTGGCACACACTAGAACTTTGTCTCTGGGTCAGGCGTCTGTGAGAGAGTTGTGTCGCTGCTAGGATCCATTTATGATAAGACATTAAGAGAATGGTCCCCCAATCTCTCAGGCAGAAGTCCCAAGAAGTGCCAAGCAAACAAAACCAAGATCGGACATTTGGCAGTGGCAAAGGGAAAGGAGTGTAGGTTTCATAGGTACGATAGTTTTAGAGAGCAAAGCAAGAACACACATTTTCAAAGACAGCACACTCAAACCCTACAGACACACTTCCTCTTCCTATTATGTCATTAAAATATGAACTGAGCAATTCAGACTTCTACACCTATTTCATTGTTCTGACTTCACATGCACCTTTGCAATCTCCAGATCAGCAGGTGCAACCCAACTGTTACCTGGAACCCTCTCCTGTTGAGTCCTATCTGAGTGCTGTTTGGATCTGGAGAGTCTTCCACCATCTGACTCGAATCATCTTCCAGGTTCTCCACAACCAAATCTAGAGACACACAAATATGAGCAATCCCATTATTGGAGAGAGGGGACCAGCCATTCCTTCTACTCTAGGTGAGGTTGTGGTGGGTCATCCACCATCTCCCTGAATTTTTCTGTGAGTTCTCAGAAGTTTGTTGAGTTCGGTGGAATCTGAGCCCTTCAGTAAGACAGTGATCACAGTTGCAAATCTGAGATGTGATAGAGATGCTACAGGAATGTCATCATTCACACTCTTCAGCTGTTCAAGCTTATTATAGCTCCCACAACCAAACTTAGCGACCCGATTCCAACTCTTAGGGATACACATGAAATGTGGCTCATGTGACTGAGCAATCTGATGTTTTCTTTCCTTGGAATTAATTGAGTTAATGAGGGATGGGATGAAATTAGTTATACACAGAGGGATACAGGTTAGTGGCTAGTATCCGGGATAGCAAAGCTGTAGAATCCAAAGATGTAGAAGACATAAGTGCCCATCCCCTCATTGTTCCTTGTTGTGTAACATGCTGGTTGAGGGGATCATTCATTTGCAGGTATTTCCTGGGCCCATGCTCACATGCCAGGTACTCTTTGAGGTCCTGGGACACCAAAACAGTAAGGTCAACACTCCAGGTCTTAGTAGCAGCAACGTACAATTCAATGCAACCCCTATCAAAATCCCGATATCGTTTTATAGAAACAGAACAGAAAATGCTAAAATACCTTCGGAACCTCAAATAGTGAAAACAATCTGGAGCATGAGAGGAAAGTGGAAGTTCCACTCTTCCTGACTTAAGACGCATTGCAAGCTACAGTACTCGAACAGTCTAGTATTGCCCGAAAACCAGACAGGGAGAACAATGGATCAGCATTGAGAGCCCCCAAATGAACACACATACATGGGCACATGATCTTCAGCAAGACTGCTAAGACCGCAGCATGGAGAAGGATAGTCTCTTCAATAATTGAGAGAAAGGAAAGGGAGAAGACAGCTGCAAATTCACATTGCAAAAGGAGCTAATATTCAAAATATATAAGAAACTCCTGCATGTGAATTGCAAACACAAACCAAGAAAGCCAGTAACCCAGGTTAATCATGGGAGAAATACTTGAATAGACATTACTTCAAAGATGTACAAATGGCCAACAGACATATGAAAACCTGCTCAACATCACTGATCATCAGGGAAATGTGAATTAAAAGGACAATGAGAAATCACCTCTCTTCTTCAGATGCCAGTTACAGAAAGAAAAGAAGGAAAGGAAAAGGCAGGGGAGAGGAGGGGGGGAGCATGGGAAAGAAAGAAGAAAATAAGAACCATAGACAGTATTGATGAGAAGATGGGAAATCAGAACGTTTGTACACAGTGAGGATGTAAAATGGTACAGATGTGATGAATGAAAACAGTAATGAGTTTTTCAAAGAACTGCAAATAGGAGGAAAAAAGGATCCAGCAGTCACACTTCTGGGCATAGTGTGAGGAGAAATGAAACCAGCATCTCAAGGATACAGCTGCACTGTTATACACACTGCAGTGTTCTATACAATAGCCAGGAAATGGAATCAGCCCCAGTTTCCATACACAGGATTGTGTGAATTGATAAATTGATGAAGAAAATGTGGTACCTAATTGCAGTGGAATATTATTCCAACTTCAAAGGGAGAGGAGAACTTGCCATTTGCAGAATGAAGAATGACCCTGGAGAGCCTTATTCTACAGAAACACAAATACTATTTGTTTCCATGTCCATGAAGTGTGTAAAATATCAAAGTCATAGAAGCAGAGAATAGAGGATTGGTTGCCATGCATCAGGGGAGAAGGAAGTGGGGAGTTGCTTTCATGGGCTTTGGTCCTGAATGAGAATTGGCCCCAGCTCTGACAGATGTTGACCTGCATGGTCCTATGGGGGACCTACATCCACACCTTTCACAATCTATGGACTGACCACAAACATCTGTGGTCAGTGGTCCACACTAATGACTAGGCTTAAATGGGTTAAATGCACATGAGCTGTCCTGGGTTATTTGTCCACGGAGGCCATTTAAAATGTTGGGCAATGTTGTGACCTTGTAGATGAGCATCTCCAGGTATGTAATGGATGTGGGACTTGCTCTATGACTGATGGTCCAGTCGCTGAGTGATAAGGGCAGGTCAGTGGCCCAGAGCTACAGCACTGGGATGTGGGCCTGGGTTCATATTTTTCCTTTTCCATATAAAAGGCAAGAGCTTGGGCCATTCATCACTGCAGCATCTCCTGAGGAAAGGGAGTTTTGAGAAAACCTCCAGGTATGGCTGTGTTGAGGGAGGAATGTGGTATTGTATGCAATACATTTATATGTACTGTATGTGTGGTGGTGATGTGATTTTCTTCTTTGTAGACAGTTGACTCATGTAAGTGGGAAATATCTCTCAAGGAAACAAACACACACACACACACACATTGACAGTTAACCACACAGATGCATACAGCCTCCCCCAACCCTCACATGCCACAAACCATACCATCTGAATGACCTAGTGTCCCAGGGAATGTAGAACAGGGTCATAGTTCCTTACAGGACAGTTTCTCTCATTACATCTCAACACCCAATCCCAAAAGGAATGCAGAATCAGGGTTGTTCTGCAGACTGAAGCAGACAAGCATTTCTCAACTTCTTCTTTGGTCACAGTAGGCCTATGAAAGTAAATCTTTATAAAATAAAAGGGGTGGGACCTTTTTGTTCCCTTCTGCATCCACCTGCAATTAGAGGAACAAAAACAGTATGAGGAACACATCACACTATACAGTGTTTACACAGATGATTTTTTCTCTTTAGGAAACCAAATGAGAACCAGGGGTTGAGTCAATGGCCCTAGAACAAAATACAGTGGACATGGACAAAGCTTGAGCATTTCATACAAGATCTTGCAAGTCCATTTTGATCAGGAAACCAAAAATTCACTTTTGTGGACAAACATTTCTGCTGAGGAAAATGCTCACTACCATACGGTTTGTAGCTGATGTTGTCATTCATAAAATACCCTACTGTATCAGGTATCAGCTGGTAACACACTCTCACTTAAACATCTCCACACTGACATAATTAGATATATCATCTGACATGTCTAGGCTCAGAATTTGATAGCTTAGTTCTATTGAAGAAGAAAAAAAAATGTCTCTCTTAGACAAAAAGTGTTTACCTTGGAGAGGGTTGGGGCTTCTTCTACACTCCAGCTAGGAAGCTCTTCAAGCTGGCCCTCAGTGGGAGCTAGGAGGAGACATAGGAACTGTCAGGGCCCTGGTGCTGAGCAACTAACCAGGGAGCTTTTTCTGGATGTGGACACTGTGTCGGAGTGTGCCTATTGGTCATGAGTACCTGTGGTTTGAGCTGCTTCTGGGCTGTTCTCTTCGGTGACAAAGGAAGACAGAGTAGAGGAGCAGAAAAAAATGAGAAAGTGGACCTTTGGCTTTCTTGCTAAAGGGAGTCTAAGCAAGGGGAGACCCCACAGCCAGAGAGAAGCAGGGCTATTAGGGATAGGCACCCTGATGGCATGGTGGACACCACCTTCATTCAGTTTCTGGGGATCCATGTAGGCTTCTCTTCTGAAAGGCTTGGGTCCTGCAGAGATACCTCCAGCCCTGAGAACTCAGAAGTATGTCCAACCGGAAATCCTATACCTCTTTTAAGAGCTATCCCAAATAAAATGCCATATGATCTCATACAACTCCACCTCATGTTTCTCACAGCTGTAAAGTAGGACCCTCTGGCCATATTCGGGCCTAGGTGCTCCAGAGGTCCTCATCAAAAGTGAGCCAGACAGGCCCTTGCTGTCCAGCTGCAGCTTTGATGATTTCCCAGAGGAAGATCCAGCATGAAAGGATGCACATGGAACCATCAGACAGAAACACAACTTGGAGGAACAGCTCAGGTGCACTTGACAATTGCAGGCCTCAGAAACAAGCTGTACATACTTCTGACCAGGAGGCAAGACTGGGGACTCCTGCAGACAAGACAAAGTGACCCTCTGAGACTGCCACCACCCCTGAAGTGGGTTTAGAATCATTGCTGAAGACCAGCCTCTGAAGAGGAAGCAGTACTCCAAGGCACGCCCAGTGCTTTTTTCGGCGACACCGAGACCATCTTCAATGACAGGACTAGACTGACTTCCAGTTCTTTCCCTCTGCCTGCAGCATGGTCTGCTCCTCCTTCAGCTGTCCCTCCAGCCCCCAGCAGGAATACACAGCAGGAGAGCTGCAGGAAGATGCAGGACTGCCAGGGCCCAGTGACCACCCTGGATTCCAACTGAAGGACAGCTGTGTGCATCCTCTATCTCAGAGGACACACAGCTTGTGTCAGAACCCCTTTCAGTCACCTCTTCACAATCACTGTCCCCACCTCCCTGGCAGGGCTCACGAATCAGGCAGTGCTGTCCTGCTGGGTCCCCAAACCAGTACCCCTGCCCCAAGGCCTCAGTGACAGCTGAAGCAGATGCCAGTTGTGCCTTCCCTGCTGCTCCCAGCATCTCTGAAATGCAGTCCCCACCAGATTCTCCTGTTTTCACCTGGGAGAGCTCTGCTCCACTCCAATCCCAGCGCCCGTCCTCAGGCCAGCCTGCCCATCACTGCTGCTGCCACTTCTAGTCCATTACCAGCACAGCTGAAGGACTGGCTCCCCAGCCAACCTCTGACCCTGAGGTCAACCTCTTAGACACGACTGTGTTTTGAGGCATTAAAGCCCCTAATATCACATTCCAGCTTCTCAGAGCCCCCTGACTTACAGCTGAATGCCTAACATTGCTGCTTGCCTGGCTGCCTGTAGAGGGGTCTTTTCCCAGGCCTCTACTCCTAGCAGCCCTATCTCTGTGGTGAACCCAGCAGGAGCACCCTTGCCATGAGGATGCTGCATCCATCCCTTACCCAGGGCTTGTTAGACCCCAAACTGCTGGGCCACGGGCCATGCTCTTTTCCTCCAGGTCTGAATTGTCTTCCTTGGGGTCCCAGAGGCAAATGCTTGTTTTCAGGGAATAGCTTCCTTGAGAATTACCCAAAGTCCAACTTCCTCCCAGGCTGCACCATGTGTGAGCCTTGTTTAGAAGAGAAATGCATGGTTAGGCCTGACTCTGTGATCCTGGAGCCAACTGAGTGCCTACAGATACAGCATTCCATCCGTACCCCCCTGCCCTGCAACTTTGCCCAAAGATGGGTGGTTTAAGGCTGTTGTTCCATCCCTGTGGTCTCAGTCTTCACAGGGCAATTTATGGAAGTGCTCATCTCCCATTTCCCTCCAGGCCTGGATGTGGCGGGGCTCCTTCTGCCTAAGCTTGACTCCTCCCCTCTCCATGTTTCCTTCCCAGAACCCTCATGTCTTCTCCAAAACTTATTATAAATCCTTGTTTCTGTTCCTCTATATAATTCTCATGTGCCTGTGCTCTATAAATCAAGGGTTCAAAAGCACTGATTTGGATGAGGGGTGGCATGGGAATCAGACCTGTTTCAATTTTCCTGTGGCTCAGTTAACAGGCTATAGAGAATAGCACACCTTGGTGTCTAGAATGACTGACCCCTGCATATGAAAGTGTGTTTGGGGTTTAAGGATGCCCCAGCATCTCTGAAATGCAGTCCCCACCAGATTCTCCTGTTTTCACCTGGGAGAGCTCCGCTCCACTCCAATCCCAGTGCCCGTCCTCAGGCCAGCCTGCCCATCACGGCTGCTGTCACTTCTAGCCCATTACCAGCACAGCTGAAGGACTGGCTCCCCAGCCAACCCTGATACCCCAGGGTACCAGGGGTCCCAAGGGACAGAAGCAGTAGGAGACTTATGCCTGACTGCTGGAACCGCAGCTGCTCAGACACTTCTCAGACCTGGAGCAGGCTGGACATCCCTAATGTACACACCATAAGGGGGGGGGGGAGAAAAGAAAAGAAAGAGGGAAACAAACCATAAGATACTCTTAACAGTAGAGAACAAGGGGCGCCTGGGTGTCTCAGTTTGTTAAGCATTGGCCTTTGGGTCAGGTCTTGATCTCAGGGTCCTGGGATGAAGCCCCACCTTTGGCTCCCTGCTCAGCAGAAAGACTGCTTTTCCCTCTCCCTCTGCCCTTCTCCTGCCCCCACTTGTGTTTCTCTCTCTCTCTCTCTCAAATAAATAAATAAAATCTTAAAAGAAATGGAAGAAGATGTGGTCCATATATACAATGGACTCAGCCATCAGAAAGGATAAATACCCAACTTCTACATCAACGTGGATTGGGACTGGAGGAGATTATCCTAAGTGAAATAAGTCAAGCAGAGAAAGTCAATTATCATATGGTTTCACTTATTTGTGTAACATAAGGAATAGCATGGAGGACCTTATGAGAAGGAAGGGAAAAATGAAAGGGGGGGGAATCGGAGGGAGAGATGAACCATAAGAGACTATGGACTCTGAGAAATAAACAGGGTTTTAGAGGGGATGGGGGAGGGGGGATTGATTAGCCCGGTGATGGGTATTAAAGAGGGCACGTACTGCATGGAACACTGGGTATTATTAGAAAACAATAGATCGTGGATGACCACATGAAAAACTAATGATGTATTGTATGGTGACTAACATAACATAATAAAATTTAAAAAATTTAAAAAAATGGAGATCCAACTAAGGGTTGATGGAGGGAGGTTGGTGAGGCTGGGCTTCCTGGGTGATGGGTGTTAAGGAGAGCACTTGATATGATGAGCTCAGGGTGTTGTACGCAAGTGATGAATCACTGAATTCTACTCCTGAAACCAACATTGCACTGTATGCTACCTAGCTAAAATTTAAATAAAAAATTGAAAAGAAAAAAATAGAAATAAGAAAAAATGAGAATAAATAGAAATAAAAATCAATATGAGCCATCTCAATACAGTAATTAAAAGACAGAGCATCAGACTGGACTTTAAAAACATAGGAAGCACTTACAAGAAACTCATTAGAAGAAACTCTCTTTAATGATCAGACTATAGATAAGTTAAAAGTAAAGAAGCAGAAAAAGTTAAGCCACCATGATAACACAAATGAAACATAAACCAGAGTAGCTACATTCATTTCAGACAAAGCACACTTTGGAACCAGGAAAATGATCAGGGATGAAGAGAGGTTTTACCTGAAGAGGAAGGGGTCCATTCTAGCTAGACCAAGGAACAATATAAGCCTCAAGCTAACCAAACCAAAAAGAAAAAGAAAAGGAATAATTTCTGCAGAAATTGATAAAAGGAATAGCATGGAGGACATTAAGAGAAGGAAGGGAGAAAGGAAGGGGGGAAATCGGAGGGGGAGATGAACCATGAAAGACTATGGACTCTGAGCAATAAACTGAGGGTTCAAGAGGGGAGGGGGTGGGGTGATGGGTTAGCCCGGTGATGTGTATTAAGGAGGGCACGTACTGCATGGAGCACCAGGTGTTATACAAAAACAATGAATTGTGGATCACTACCTCAAAAAACTGATGATGTATTGAATGGTGACTAACATAATGTAATAAAATTAAATTAAATTTTAAAAAATCAGAACTCAATAAAGAAAATAAACCTGAAACTAGTTCTTGGACAAAAAAAAAATGGGTCATAAATATTTAGAATTGTTAGATCTTGATGACTACACCCCTTAATTATGATTTAATGCCCTTCTTCATCTCTTGTTACAGACTTGGTTTTAATATCTACTTTGTTGGATATAAGAATGGCTACCCCTGGGGTATAAATACTCTGGCTTTCTTTTGATGTCCATTGCATAACAAAGGTTTCTCTGTTCCTCACTTTCAATCTGCTGATGTCTGTAGGTCTAAAATGAGTCTCTTGTAGGCAGCCTACAGTTGTTTTTGTTTGTTTGTTTTATCCATTCTGGTGCACTATGTTTTTTGATTGGAGCATTTAGTGCATTTACTTTCAGACTGATTATTGAAAGGTCTGAATTTAGTGCCATTGTGTTCCCTGTAAAGTTGGTGTTTCTGGTGATGTTCCTTGGTCCTCTGTTGCTTTTGGGTTTTTTTCCACACTCAAAGAGCCCCCTTTAATATTTCTTGCTGGGATGGTTTAGTGCTCACAAACTCTTTTAGTTTTTGTTTGCCTGGGAAACCCTTTCTCTCTCCTTCTATTTCCTGAGTAATGGCTATATTAAAAGAGGTCCAATAAACAAAGAATAAAAATAAAAAAGAGGTCCTGTCCTATACTGTCTTGGACCTGAAGCTTCAGGAGGTGTTTTAGAGTGTGCACTCTGCTATTGTGTTTTGCTGCTCCTTCCCTCAGGTCAATCCTCTGCAGAGTTTCTCTTTGCCTACAATGGGGGAGTGTCTGGACCTTGTCCACTGTGTGGCATTATCTAATTAAGTGTGTTTGGGTCTACTTGTTTCTTTTTAAAGATTTTATTTATTTATTTGACAGAGAAGACATAGCGAGAGAGGGAACACAAGCATGGGGAGTGGGAGAGGGAGAAGCAGGCTTCCTGCGGAGCAGAGAGCCCAATGCAGGGCTCGATCCCAGGACCCTGGGATCATGACCTGAGCCAAAGGCAGATGCTTAAAAACAGAGCACCCACACACTCCTGGTCTACTTGTTAAATGAAGCTAGAGTTAAGCAAAATGGAAACTAGATCTTATTTCACCTAGACCTAACGCTTTGCAGCACTCTATGATCAGTAGACTTTCGGCATGCCAGGGGTTTGTGCTGGTCTTCTGTGAGAGGGGTCAGCTACACAGATTGTCAGGTGAACTTGCTGTAGTGGAGATACACCTGCAGGGCACAGGGGGTAGGGCTTGGTGTAAGGGGTTCTGGCCTCCACTTGGTGGCACTGTGTTGTTCACTGTAGTTGGTCAGTGCTGATGGGTGGGGGAGATAATGGCATAACCTCACTCTCTTGTCCCCAGAGAGGGGTGTTCACAGCCACCAGTCTTTAGAAAAGAAAAGAGCAAACAATCGCCCCTACGTTATGTTAATCACCATTCAATACATCAACAGTTTTTTGACATAATGATCCACAATTCATTGTTTATGCATAACACCCGATGTTCCATGCAGTGGAGCAAACAATCTTCTCAGAGAAGAAAAAACACTCGCCCCTCTTATGTCCCCACCTTCCATCCCATCCCTGCCTTCACACTGTCTGTGTCCAAGCTGTCAGCCTGCCAGCAGCACAGTATTGCTGTGTTTTATATCAGGTGCAGCTGGGTTTCAAAACTCCCAGGTTTGAGGGACTGGTGTGGCATAGACCCGCACTCAATCTCTGGGGAGGGGTAGCCACACTGTGGCCAGGTGCTGCTTTGTCCCAGAAAATGGTCATGCAACCACACAATGGTTGATAGCTTATGGTAATGTGCAGCAAAAAGCCAGCCCCCAGGTTTCCTGCCCTCAGCTGGTGTCTTTCATCCTATTCTAATGAACAGGGAAGCAGGTTGGTACCTGCCTGGTCTTAGTGTCCAGAGAGTCCCTGCCACCTTTCCCAAATGCACTCCAAGAAGGGGAACTGCTTCTCACCATGTGACCCAAGGGATCCTCAGACCACACTGAGTGCTCCCAGGCCTCCAGCCTCCGTCCCCACAGGAGCAACACCAAGCCCTCCAGGAATGAACCTGGTGATGGCATGGATTTCTAAATCCCAGAGGAAATATTCCTTCACCTATCCAGCTCTGGGAGTGGTCATTAAGGAAGAGAAAAAGGAAAGAAACTGGAAGGTTAATGGAGAAGTTCTGTCAGTTAAGAGGGAGAGAGTTGACTTCTCACCCACCACCTGGCACACATAGAACAACTTAGTCTCCATGGACAAGTGTCTGTGAGAGAGTTCTTGTGTCCCCACAGAACTCATCCACGACAGGTCCTTAACAAGAAGACACTCAATCCTTCATGCATAATTCCCAAGTGTTGTTAACCAACAAAAACACAATTTGACATCTGATAGTGGCAAAGGGAGGAAAGTGCAGGGAAAGATACTTTTTAGAGAGCAGAGCAAAAAAAGATGTTTACAAACCCAGCAAACTCAAGGCTCCTGGATGCAACTCCTCTTACTATTAGGTCATGAAATTATGAAATGAACAAATGAAACTTCTACACATATTTCCCTTTCTTTTCTGATTTCATATGCACCTTCTTCAGTCTCCAGATCAGCAGGTGCAACACGACTGTTCTCAAGGAACCCTCTCCCATTGGTTTTTACTCAGTGTCCTTTCCTACCTGGAGAGTCTTCCACCTCACTGTTGGGAGTCCTTGATGCTCTCCAAAAGGAAATCTCTAGAAACACAAGCAGGAGCAAACATGTTAGTGGAGAGATGGGCCTAGCCATTCCTCCTACTCTGGTTCAGATTATGGTAGGTCATACGGCATCTCCCTGACCTAGTGCATTCTCAGACCTTTGCTTGCGGGGGGTCACAACCCTTCAGCAAGACAGTGATCACAGTGGCAAACCTTCAAATGAGACCGAGATGCTAACGGAATCATCATTTACATTCTCAGTTCTACAGGCCCATTATAACTCTCACCTCTACCTTTAGCAATAGGAAATTCCCTCTGTTATAAAAAACTTGAAATGTTCCTAATGTTTCTCAGTAAAGGGAGGTTATTTTATTTTGTTATTTTTATTTTACTTGAGTTCATTGAGTTAATAAATGACTTTGTAAAATTAACTTTAGAGTGTCACATCTATCTAGTGGCTATCTATCTGGATAGTGCAGCTCTAGAATCCAAAGATGAAGAAGACATCACCTCTCCTCCCCTGGCTATTCCTTGCACAGTAGACACTGGCCTGATCTGACCATTTACATGTAGGTATTTCCTGGGCTCATGCACAAATGTCAGGCATTACTTGAGGCCTTGGGAAACTAAAACAGTAAGGTCAACAGCCAGGTCCTAGAAAAAATCATCTACAGATTCAGTGCCACACTTATCAAAATCCCAGTGTCATTCATAGAAATAACAACACAATCTTAAAATACATATGGAACCACAAAGGACCCCAAAGAGCCACAACAACATTGAAAATAAACAAAGATGGAGGCTCCATACTTGCTGACTTTCAAACACTTTAGAAAGCTACACTAACCTACCAGTATGGTGCAGGCATAAAAATTGGTAGATAGACCAATGGACCCAAATAGAGAGCCTGAAAATAAACTCACACATACCTGGACACATGATCTTTGACAAGGATGCCAGGACCACACAATGAGGAAAGGAGAGTTTCTTCAACAATTGAAGGAAGGAAAAGGCCACCTACACAATGTGAGAAAATATTTGCAAACCTCCTATCAGAAAAGGTGTTAATGTGCGAAAAGGAGAGAATAGCAACTTTCCCAATTTGAGAATGGGGGAAAAACTTGAATTGCTTGGCTCCAAAGGAAATAAACCAATGGCCAAAGGCCTATGAAAAGATGATCAACCTAACTAGTCATCAGGAAATTATCAATCAAAACAACGAGATATCCCCACATCTGTTGGGATGGATTTTATCAAAATAAAAAACACACAACAACAAAAGAACAACAAAAACAAAACAGGTGTTGGTAGAATGTAAAAAAGAAATCTGTGTAAGCTATTAGTGGGAATGGAAAATGGTGCAGCCATCATGGAAAGTGGTGTTGAGTTTCCTCAAACAGTTGCAAATAGAACTCCTAGAGGATCCAGGTATCACACACCTGGGTTTATGTCCAAAGGAAATGAAGCAAGTATCTGGAAGATACACCTGCAATTTCATGCTTACTGCAGCATTTACACAGTAGCCAGGATATGGAAGAAGGCCCAGTGTTAACTGACACTGAATTTTAAAGACAGGTTGGGATATCCATACAGTGGAATATTATTTAGCCTTAATAAAGAAGAAAATGCTGTCTTTTGTGGGAACATGAATGAAATAAACCAATGACAGAAAAACAAAAATGGTATGATTGCATTTCTGTGAGCAATCTAAAATAGAAGCAGAGAGCCGAAGGCTGCCCAGAGTTGGGGGAGCAGGAAAGGGTGAGTTGTTATTCTATGCATGTGGAGATTTAGTCATGCCAGATGGAAGTAGAGAGCTGCTGCACAGCCATGTGAATTAAGTTGACAATAGTGTGCTGTATACTTGCAACTTTGTCAAGAGGATAGATTTAATGTTATGTGGTGTTTTTTTTTCCCACAATTAAAGTATAAGTAAAAGAAAACACAAATGTAAACAGGAAGGAAAGAAGAAAAGAAAAGAAAGGAGGGTAATGGTTGACAGGAAGGCAAAAAGGTCACGCTGTAGGTGTTAAAGATTTCTGCACAGTCCTCACTCCTGTGAACAGGAGGCTGTGTCCTTTCTCATCTCCATTCAGGAAGGAGCCAAATATCATCCAAAGTGTGAACAAGGTGGGCTGAGGTAATACTGCTTCTCCTGTTCTTGACTCTTTGGAATCACCCGCTAGCAATGAAACTATGGTGTATAGATTTAAGATTTCTAGGACACCGTTTTATCAAGTAGACTGTTTCTGGGGCAAACAAGTGACATTTGAAAATCAAGCAGTCTCATCATGCTTTTGTTTCTTTGGGAAAATACCTACAGGGAAATCAAATCCTACTGAGACATGTATTTCTCACAGGGTTGATGCTCCAAAATAAAACTTAAACCATAACTTGGCTCAGTTTCCATTGCTATTGACTTAAAATAACTACCTTGACTTGTTTATTTGCAGAGGCCTTCAGACTAGCTGAAGACCCTATTTCGCCTGGCCGATGGACAGGAACATGAGTAGGGACACTCTTGTCACACTGCTGAGGTTCTCTTTCCCCACTGTGCCATGTAAAATATGCCCTTTCATTCTCCTGTGAGGAAGCAAAGTGCCCATCTTGATGCTCAGTCTCTGAGGAAATCCTCTTGTTTCTCATTTCATATTACACTTTTTTTTGCCCAACACACAGAACCACAGCAATGATCAGTGGGAAATGACTCATTCTCCAGGCAAGAATGAGTTTTATTCTTTTGTTCTTTATTCTGAAGTTAAGGTTAGATCCCCATGGGGAAAGAGGCAGTGAATTTCCCCCCAACAATTCCTGGGGCTCCTCCCTTCTCAGATTCCCACTCACATCTGGGCGTGGACATGTGGTGTCTTCAGGGCCCAACTGCTGAAGCAAGCAGTCCTGCCCCAGCATTCAGTGGTCCAGATGAGCTTGGGAAGACTCACTTAGATGAAGAGTGTTTTGAGTTCATGAAGTGGCAAGACTGAGGGACTGTGGCCATTCACAATATCAGGAGACCTACCATGAGGTGAGAGTCATTATTGAATGGAAATGTCACTGACTCAGTAACAGGAATTGTGAAGCATGATTTTGTTTATTTTGTGCACAGTCATCCTCTTCCTGGGTGCTGAGGAGATATGTATTCCTGATTAATGGATGTGTATGTGACATATCATGAACAAGATTTAAATCATACCATTTGGTTAACTTATATGTGCTTAAACATCCATGATGTAATGGGGGTGGGAATTTTTATTTAGAAGGTCTGCACCATTAGTTGTGATGTGTAGCGAGACATAAATCTGGGGAAACACACAATGTGTAACACACTCACACACACACAGTCTAATCCAGAATCACTGCACATGGATTCACATACTGACACACCCACTGCCCTGCATGGAAACCTACACCACCCAAGAGAAGTACAGCTGCTTCTAGGGACTGTACAATGTGGCCACAGGTCTTTATCTGGAAAATCCTTTTGCATCACCACATCCCCTCTTCTCAGTCCCAGCATGAAGCTGGCATCAGGTGGCTTTCAACATGAAACCTGCAAGACAGCCCCACCTTTCTCATCTCCCAGATTTCTCCCCAGCAAATTAGTGAATCCAGAATATATACTGCTTTCACTTTCCACCTGATCAGTCTTCTATTACAGAAAGAAAACACTCTGAAGATCAGATCATGCTGTGTCCTGCTTGCCCAGCTCTCTTCTTATGTTGTTGGCAGGAGAAAACCAGATGGGAATGTGTGATAGAGACCAGAGAACTAAAAAGCGAGAAGAAAGCAAACCTACTCGTAGACAAAAGCACCAATGTTTCCTAAAGAATATATGTCCCGGGGTGCCTGGGTGGCTCAGTTGGTTAAGCAACTGCCTACGGCTCAGGTCATGATCCTGGAGTCCCGGGATCGAGTCCCGCATCGGGCTCCCTGCTCAGCAGGGAGTCTGCTTCTCCCTCTGACCCTCTTCCTTCTCATGCTCTCTCTCATGCTCTCTCTCTCAAATAAATAAATAAAATCTTAAAAAAAAAAAAAAGAATATATGTCCCAAGTCCCATTGGGTTGGCTATTATAACATTGTTTCCAAGGGGGAAAATTGTTGCTGGTAAAAAGCTCCCTGCCTGTGGATTGTGACTGACACTCCTATTGTTTATTTATTTATTTTTCTAAGATTTCATTTATTTATTTGACAGAGAGAGACACAGCGAGAGAGGGAACACAAGCAGGGGGAGTGGGAGAGGAAGCCCCAATGTGGGGCTCGATCCCAGGGCCCTGGGATCATGACCTGAGCGGAAGGCAGACGCTTAACGACTGAGCGACCCAGGCGCGCTGACACTCCTATTGTTTAATAGTCTTTGGAATCAGGAATCAGTAGGTAACAGATTTCACAAAATATTCTTCCAAATTGACAAGACAAGAGACAACAAATGTTAAAGAGGTTCTAGAGAAGGGGAAACTTTCTTACACTCTTGGTGGGAATGCAAGTTGGTATAGCCACTTTGGAAAACAGTGTGGAGGCTCCTCAAAATGTTAAAAATAGAGGTACCATATGACCCAGCAATTGCACTACTGGGTATTTACCCCAAAGATACAGATGTAGTGAAAAGAAGGGCCATATGCACCCAAATGTTCATAGCAGCAATATCCATAATAACCAAAAAATGCCCTTCAACAGATGAATGGGGGGAGGAGCAAGATGGGGGAGGAATAGGAGACCTAAATTTTGTCTGGTCCCAGGAATTTAGCTAGATAGTGGAACCCTTGCTGGGACAGTGTAGTCTCAGGACCCTCGGGGTCACAGAAAGACCAGGGATGCCCGAATGCAGCAGAGCTCCCAGGTATCAGAGCCGGGAAGCTGGCTGCAGAGACAAAGCCAAGGAGTGGGCTCTCAGCTCGGGGTTGCCATAAACCACGATCCGCGGCACAGTCAGGTCAGTGCTCTTCCAGCAGAGACCCAACAAGTGGCAGATCCAGGGAGACTCCCCTTCCTCCCCTGGGAGGAGCGGCGTGGGAGCGCAACAGGAATCTGCTGGTTTCAA